GCGTGGGGGTGGGTGGGGGAGTCTGTGGCACGGCGCTTGGGGGGCGGGGGGTGGCGGGGCGGCGCTCTTCTTTTTTGCCTGGGGCGGCAAAAAAAGTTAGAGCTGGCCCTGCCTGGAAAACACGGTAACGCTCAGCGTCGCCATGTCTGCATTTCTTAGCCAATCTAGCCCAAAGAGAATAAGGAGAAGCTTTTGAAACTTGGGTACCGAAATATAGTTAGGTACCTAAATCCATATTTAGGCAGCCAGTTAAGTGACCTGCATTTCAATAGAGCAAATACGGAATTATTTTATTTGTGCTTGGAGATGAAATGAGTAACCACCGTGCAGCGTCTTATATTGAATGTTCCGAACAGCAAAAAGGCCATGATCCTGGGCTGTGTCTGTGCTGTCATTGGCGCAGCAGAGAATAGGTGGGGACAAAAATAGCTGTGCAGTTCCCTGGCTTTGGGACTGGCCTGGAGACCAGTTCAGTTCCCAGCATAAGTTAGAGCACCCTCTAGTCGAGCCAGTACAGCTGTACTTCGTTGTCTTTTGCCCTTTGCAAATCTTGGTTTACTCAAACAATACATTATTAGTGTTTCCTAGGGAATTTGAGGGATGTGAAGGGGATATAAAGCTAGATGTTCATTTTTTATTCTAAAAGCATCGTCAGGCAAAGGGGACTATCAGCTTCTACTGAACAACACTAACATCTTTAGTGTCACTAAGGCCAAATTCAGCATAGGCAGCTCATTGAAGTCAGTGGGTGCTGTATGCAGGGATCTGTGGGTACAGTTATTAATCCTTTCCGCTTTAGTTCTTTGTGACCCAAAAATTTCTTAATGTCTATTGGCCAAGGGGTGCTGAGGGCACAGGTGCCTACTCCTTGAGTGCTCCGGGACTGGAACACCCATGAAAAAAAATAATGGGTGCGCAGCACCCACCAGCCACCTGCCGATCAGCTGTTTGGCAGGCCCAGATGATCAGCTGTTTGGCAGCGGGTGGGAGGCGCTAGGGGGAGGGGGCGGAGCGGGGGCAGAAAGAGATGGAGGTAGGGTGGGGCCTTGGGGGAAAGGGCAGAGTGGGGGCAGAGCCTCGGGTGGAGTGGGGATGGACACCCACCAACCCGGAAAGAAGAAATTCGGTGCCTGCGGCTGAGGGGCTCCAGGAATCCCCTGAGTCTGATATGTACGTTCTAGTTCACCAAATAATGCCCTGTGAGCTCTCAAATAAAAGCCAGTGTCACACTGGTCATCAATACCATGAACTCATGTATGCATGTTGTGTAAACATGTTTACACATAATATTTGACTGAAAATTACATCCTGTGTCTAGGGACTAGTCACAGGTGAAAAGGTGAAAAACAGGTTTTCTGTCAGACAAGAATGTTTATCTGACAATTCACTGTATGGTTCACGGTGAATCTCCTCTCACCAGTCTGAACCAAATGCTAATGAAGGATTGTGAAAACTTCAAAGCAAGAAGAATAGCATGAAGAGGTGAACAGTGGGGGGTGGGGAGTGGAACCCCATCTGGAGGTGCACATCAAAGGCTTGTTCTGGACTGTTTGGGGGACAAAGAAGATCTGTCATCCTTCACCTAGGACATAAACAGACAGCGAGTTTGCTTCATGAAAGAGGGATCTCAGCCAGGCTTGGTTGAAACCACTGGAGTTAACTTTGGGTGAGATAAGCTTCTTTAGACAAGAGGGTAACTTGTTAGTTAAGTTTAGTCTCTAGAAAGCATGTTATAGTTTTGTTTTATATGTAACCATTTGTTTCCAGTATTCTTACTCATTATCACTGGAATGTCTGAATTTGAGAATGAACTTATTCTTGTTTTCACTGTAAATAGATCTCAGTGCTGTGTTGTTAAGCAAAGTGGTGATCCTGAGTTGAATCTTACAAGCTGGTGTATACTGCTCTTTTGGGAACAGCAGGTCTGGTCATTGGGCGGGGGGCTGGACACAACAAGGAGTGCTCTGAAGACTTGGGGGTTGGTGTGTGCCTTTAGCTAACCTGTTCAGAGAGAGTGGAGGCCTGGAAGGCAGTGCTTGTGTAGCCAGAACCTGGTGGTGGCAGAGAGCTGACCCACAGCAAGGCACAGATAAATCTTCCTCACACTAGGGCAGGTGGTGTTGAGGGGCCTCACAACCCAGGATACCCTTAGGATGTTTCACATTCTTCCGGTACCAAGATGTCATATTTTCACCACTGGTTTATATTTCTTTTATCTGGTAGCCAAGAAACAACAGATCATGACCAAAGATGGTTTCCTGATGTATCTGCTGTCTGCTGAGGGGAACATATTCAACTCCTCTCACTGTAAAGTTTACCAGGACATGACTCAGCCCCTCAGTCACTACTTCGTGTCGTCGTCACACAATACCTATCTAATGGAAGACCAGATCAGAGGGCCCAGTAGCACAGAGGCCTATATCAGGTAAAGGGGATCTCTCAACACAGATTGTACCAGGATACAGAACACATACAGGCAGACTTGATCCTAGAATGTTCAGTTCCTCCCTTGCATGAACTGACCCTAACCTTATTGCTGCTTGTTGTGTCTGCCAGCTAGTGGCCAGATGTTGGAGTGACCTCAAACAGCTGCAAACAGGCTAGCCAACAAGAAACTTCCCTGTAGCTGAGCCAGCAGAGAGGTATTGCCAACCCTAAATGTGCAATAATCCTGAGTCAGACCCCCAAAATAATGAGATTTTAAAACTAATAAATGTAACATGCTTTGTATTTGTCTTCTGGAGTTGGGGACTTCACGGGTCATGTTTTCAAGCTTTTCTCTGCAGCCATGAGGCTAGACATTTACTCTTTTTTCAGTGAAAGCTGAATTCTCAGGCAATAGCATGATTCCAGGAGGAAACCACCCAAATCACGTGAGTCATGACCAGATTGTGAGCGTTAGTTACACTGAGTAGGTGCTCTGCTACCGTGGCTCTTTTCCTACCTGATGGAGTTGTTGGGGAGCAGCAGCTATCTAGTCAAAGTGATGGGGAGGGGGCAGAGGATTTAGCTCAGTGAATTGCTTTCACTGGTTATTTGAATGCATTTTGCAATATCAGGAAATTACTTAATCCTGTTTCCATTGTGGTGAACTCTGTGGTTCCCACGGGTCTTGTAGCGGTGCTTATAGGAGATGGGTCACTTTAAGCATATGGGGAATTACTGTACACGTGGCCTCCTGTACACATACTCCTCTGTAGAGAAAAGTGGAAAGATCATCTTCAGAAGCCTACAGTGATGAATATATATAGACAAGAACTTACATTTGAAGGCAGGAAATGACTGAACCAGACAACGCAGGGCAGGGGCTTTCTGAGTGCACATTCAAGATCTATAATCTGTGGGGTGAACTTTCTAAAGGGGATTTAGTCCCATTAAATGCCAGTGGAGTTCACATAGCTACATCAGTGAGCACAGCTTTGAAAATGCATCCCCAACTCCTTGTCAAATCTGCATGAAGAATGCACATGGTCTAGGCCTCTCTGATTGTGGCAGCTACTGATGGCTTCTTTGATCCACTCTCTTTATGCCCAGTCAGCCTTTCCTGATCTGCTCTTCACCATCTCGGAGCTTCCCTAATCTCCTTTCTCTCAACCCCCCTGTGCTTCTCAGATCCCCCTTGTCTTCAGCTGCCCTGAGCTTTTCCCATCTCCCCTCTCCTCAGATTCCTTTATGCATTTCTGAGCTTGCTCATCAGTTTCTCTGAGCGCCTCTCTTTTCAGTTGCTCTGATCTCTCTTGAGTGCCCCTCTCCTTAGTCCCATTGCACTTTTACAAGTTCCCCTGTTTTCACTTACTCTGCACTTGTCAAAGCCACCCATCAGCCTTCAGCGTATATTGAAATGCCCATATACGACATCGTCCCATTTTGGGGAGGGGGGAGAAAAACCCAAATGCCTCCATTCTTTGTTTCCAGAGCCCTGACCAAAGGCTGCCGCTGTGTGGAGCTGGACTGCTGGGATGGTCCTAACTCAGAGCCTGTCATTTATCATGGCTACACACTCACCTCCAAGATCCTCTTCAGTGACGCCATAAAGGCCATCAAGAACTATGCTTTCAAAGTAAGAACAAAGGACGGGGAGGGGAGGTATCCTGCAGCTTCATTTCTTTTCCCTGAGAACAAACAGGCAGACGTCCCGCTCCAGTGAAATATTCAGCTTTCCATTGTGCGTACAGAATGAAACCTGCCTACTTCCATTTCTCATTGGTCCCTTTCTGGGCTGCCTGGCCCTTTGCAGTGAGCAGCACCTGAGGGTTATTGAAATGCTGAGCCCTTTGGGGCAGGGATTGTCTTTGCATTGCACATGGGCGCAGAACTTAGCGCGATGGGACCCAGACCCCTACCACAGTGAAGGCAGTAACCAGAAATTAGAACAATAATGCACGTAGGCAACGGGAAACGTAGGCAGTCAAATTAACTTGGCTGTTCAGTTCCTGCTTAGCTTGGCTGTGATGTCTGATGGCTCAGCCTTATTTCTCCAGAGGTTTTAGAGAAATCCATGTGTGTGCATGTGAGGCACTGATGGGAGATATTCCCTCTCTCTTCCTACTGGGAGTAAATTACAGAATGTAGCAATCAAACCTGGGTGCCTTGCATAGCAGGCCCTGGGCTGTCATCCTTTATACCAAGACTGTTGTTCTTCCAGACTCACTGGGGACTCAGGCTTGCTCCTTCTTCTTCAGTTAATTTGCCTTTAGAGCCAACATCCAGTATTCCCCAGGATTTTAGGACGCAGAAATCAGAAGCCTACATTGCAAGGAAATATCCAGGAGGGTGCACAGTGGGTAGCACTTCCCTGGGGTCCTAAAACCCGTTAGATGCGTTATCAGGAAAGGAAGAAATGACTTGATGATATAGGATCTATCTTGCCCTCATATCTGAGCATCTCACGGGCATTAACGGATGTTACTTTCAGAACACCCCTCTGAGGTCAGGAAGCATTATTCCCATTTTACAGATGGGGAACTGAGGCACAGGGAAAGTTAAGTGACTTGTTCAAGGTCTGTGGACCAGTTGAGCTGGGAATTGAGACCCTGCCTCCCAGGCCAGTGCCCTAGCCTCTAGATTACGCTTCCTGGGAGGCTTCAGTAGATGGCTACCAAAATAGTGCTATGAATGTGTAATGTTATGTTAATGTGTAATGTTAAATAGTGTAAAGTTACTGTGTATTTGAACTCGTTTGTACTGCTGTGTTAACACCCCAGTTTCCACTGAAATGTGCCTTTTGAAAACTGCTAGCAGCACATTGGTTTTGTAACACATGGAGGGAAGAGATTGCCAGAGTTAAACCATGATGTATGTTGCTGTCCTACCACAGACCTCTCCATACCCGGTAATCATTTCCTTGGAGAACCACTGTAGCCTGGAACAGCAGAAGATGATGGCTCAGCACATGAAGACAATCCTAGGGGACATGCTGCTGGTAATGCCAGTTGATGGAAATACATCAGACTTCCCCTCGCCGGAGGTGAGTGGAGCTACTTTATTGCTTTGTGTGTTGTTACATGGCCTGCGTTCTTATCAGACTGATGTAATATCACTAACTGTGATAAGGAGAGCCACTGAGGAGTCTCAGTTGAAGACAGGCTCTGTGGAACACAGGGAATTTCTGGTTCAGAGGCCAGACAATATCACCAGCCCTGTTAGCAATTGCTTTCTCACAGGGTATGTCCAGTCAGCTGGGTATTACAGGTCTGTTTTGCATATGCTCACCTTACACAGAACTTGGTTAATATGACCTTCCAGGGCCTAATGTCCTCTGGATACTGGAGTTATCCTAATTAGTTTTAGTGTATATGAGGTGAAGACTAGCTCCTTGGGAGAAGTAGCTAGGGGAGTTGTCCCCGTGCTTCTGAATAGGCAGAATTGACCACTGCTTGATTATAATATAGAGGAGCAGCACTGTTCTGTACTGAAAAAAGAAGAAAGCTCTCACTGGCTTGTTTTCTGCTGCCCTTCAGTCCCTTGGAAGCTATTCCATGAGGATTCTGGCCCCTTCCCAGGGAGTAGACAGAGTAACTGAGACAGCCATGCTGCACTGATTTCCCCTTCCCTACCTCAACATGCCTGGGGAAAATGAGTGCAGGTTACTGTAAACCGTGTCATGTTGCAGACTCTCTTGCCACTGAGAGAGCTTCTGAGGGCAGTGGTGACTTGGGGAGTAATAGAGAGCATGCGGGCTGCGTTGTCAAGGGATTGCAAGGACGGGGAAAGCTGGGTGGCAGTGCAGAGGCAATGGACCTTTGCATGGAGGCCCCTTGCCAGTGGCACGTGCCTAGAGATCCTTGCACATCAGTGCAGCCCATGAGTTTGGGGAGCTGACCCCTAGGCCTGATAGGGGAGGAAGGGACCCAGCAGACTGACGAGGTAAGTCAGTGAGTTAACACTTGTGGGCCCTTGGCTGGCTCCTATCCATGCTGCTAATAAATTCAATACAGAGCTGAACTCATTAGGACTGTTGCAGTCAATTAGCCAGAGTTTCACTCAGCTGGGAGTGAGGCAGCATAGCTCCCTGGATGCCAACGACACCGATCTATACCAGCTGAGAATCTGTCCCGCTCTATGAGACTTCAGAGTGATTCCAAAACAGCAGCACGTGGAGAAGATACAGCGACAAAAATGACAATGGATTAACTAGGGCATTTTGAATGCTTTTTTAAACTCTTATTTTTACGCAAAGCTTCATTGGCCCAGAAAGTGCTGGGAGGAGTTTGTGGATGGGGAAAATCCAATGGTCAGTGCAGGAGAGAGGGGAAGGGGGAAAGCGGTCAAAAATACCATAGGAATTTGCAAAAAGAAGTGGGCTGTAGTCCACGAAAGCTTATGCTCTAATAAATTTGTTAGTCGCTAAGGTGCCACAAGTACTCCTGTTCTTTTTGCGGATACAGACTAACACGGCTGCTACTCTGAAACCTGTCATAGGAATTTGGCGTCTCTCGTGTTCTGCTGTATTTTAAGGCATTTGGGAGAGTTACCTTGTATTTGTACAGTAAAATGGGGCCCTGTTCTTGGTTGATCCCTAGGCATTGCTATAATAAACAGGATTTATTATTATGAATAAACGCACCATTGTTCCACTGGGACCTTTGCATTAGGGAAAAGAATTTCACTCCATAGTTAAGCACTGACTGTGCCGTGGCTCGTGCAGGAATAGGACACACCCCGAGGTTGGGGATTGAATAAGATTTTACTGAGTTGGAGAAGCAAGCTCTTGAGGGATTGTGTTACTGGCTTTCCCCTCACTTCCTGGCTCCTTGTTTGCCCTCAGTGCAAAATCCTGAAATCAGCTGATTGCTTTCCAAAGGGCTGTTAACTCTTTGTAGCCCAGGAAAATTATATATATAAATAAATCTTTAACAAATAAAATGGGAAATAATAAATCAAACAAGAACCAAAGACATTTTGTACATTTTTATTTCCTGCTCTCCACCTGATGTGCACTCTGGCTCCTCTGATAGACAATGGGCCAGCTCCTCTGCTGGAGTAAATCAGTGTTGCTGCATTAAAGTCAATGGAGCTATGCGGATTTATATTAGCTAAAGATCTGGCCTAGTCAGCTTTTTAAAAAAAAAGGAAAAATAGTGGTATCAAAATAATTCCTCACTTTTTTCCTCCTGTACTATTCCTCCAGCTGCCCAACATCTGTGCCTAGTAGAATCTTTTCTCAAGACCAAATTGTTGACTGTTGTAGAAAATACTTTCATTTATAATTGATACATAAAAAACCTTCCTTGATTTTCCACTTCCTAGTAAAGCTGGCAAGAGGGAGGGGGCAGTGAATTTTTTATTAGAAAAAAATGTGTCCATTTATTTTCTCAGTTTGGAATCCACCCCTGGCAAACAGCTAGAAGGCTGTAAACAAAATGCAAAGCAGGAGAAGCATCATTATGGAATCCGTTGGCTGGGTAGTTTTAGGACTTAAAGAAATATACCACACTGCAGGAAAAGGGCAGTTGACACAGTTTAGATTCGCACTAATAAATGACGGTGCTGTCCAGGGTGTGTATCTAATTTGGTAGGTCCTAATCCTGCAAACTGTTACTGATGTGAGCAGTCCTTATGCACATAAGTAATCTCATTGCCTACTCACATCAGGGGCAGTTAACCCTGTTGCCAAGGGCCAGCAAAAGCCCCTGCATCACTTAAGCTACGCCCAGGGGTTGCCCAGGGAGGTCCACTGGCAGATAGCTGCATGGATGCCAGTGCACCCCCACGGGCCATGGAACCAGTCTGTGTAACATCCCGCATAGGCCGGCATGGAAGGCTGCTGTGGGGCTTGGAGGAGAAAGGAGAGGCTAGAGTCACACATATAGTGGGGTTTGACCTCCTCAGCCACTCTTCACTCCACCAGCCCGGAGCACAAACAGTCTCCTAGCAGCACTGGGGCTAAGCACTTTATACAGATGGATGGTTGATTTGCATTGCTGGGCACATGGTATGTCAATTCTCACATCCAAGGTAAAGATGTACAATGGATAATCCCATCCTAGCCCCACTAGTTCACCCTCCATGGAAACTTCCTTCTCCATGAAACCATCTTCCCCTGGAGAAAGCAACAAAGAGTCCTGTGGCACCTTATAGACTAACAGACGTCTCCAATACGTCTCCAATATGCTCCAATACGTCTGTTAGTCTATAAGGTGCCACAGGACTCTTTGTTGCTTTTTACAGATCCAGACTAACACGGCTCCCCCTCTGATACTTCTCCTGGAGGTTTCCCTGATAAGGCTCTCTAAGTTTGTCTTGCTTGTTCTTTATCACGTTGCACATGACCTCCTGGGAGGAAAACATCACTCTACCTAGGAACAAAATCCAGTGGCTTCATTTGCTATTCTGAAAGGCACCTGGCTTTTTATTTTCCACTGTCTCTCAGAAAGCTCATTCGGGAGCCAAGTGGAAGAAATAATTAGATCAGAATGGAACAATAACTCACGGGTGGGTGATCCTAACTACAGAGCATGCAGAAAATAGCCTCGCCAGCCCAGCACCGGAATTGAACTGAAGCACTCGTTAATGTCGTTGGTGACTAGAGGAATCAGATGGGTTAAATAATAAAGAGTCCTCATAAAACACTCCAGACTGATAGAGTGGCTAGCTCTTGCTGTGACCCTGACATCCCCATGCAGGCATTTAGCCAATGGCGTCTCACCTTGACGACAGCATCTCCCTTCTCAGGGGCTGCCCCAGAAGCCATTGCTCTATGGGCTGGTGTGCCCAGAGTGCTGCTGCCCACCGTCTCACATACAGAAAGACATATGACCATGACCCCCTGGCCTCTCAACACTTCAGAGTTGTTAACTCTCCATGGAGTGGCCCCCTGCCCATCTCACCTTCCTTGGGCTTGAGTCACTCCTCAGTGGCAGAACGTCTGCCCGAGTCAGAGCCATCATTGCACAAGTCTCCTGCAATTCCCAGTCCGCTGTGGTGCGTGTACACTGCAATTAAAAACCCGCGGCTGGCCCATGTCAGCTGACTTGGGCTCAGGCTACGGGGCTGTTTATGATGTTGGGGCTTGGGCAAAGTGCGGGGGTCCCAAAGCTCAAGCTGCAGCCCAAGCTGGAACGTTTGCACCGCAATTAAACAGCCCCTTAGACCGAGACCCGCGAGCCCAAGTCAGCAGGCGTGGGCCAGCTGCGGGTTTTTAATTCCAGTGCAGACATACCCTGTGAGACCTGGAGTGAGCTTGTGCCATCCATAGAATAGCAGCGCTGCCCCGAAAGGCACAGGACCAGGCCATTTGGTCAAGCAATTTACTCTGAAAGCCTCTTCCATCAGTGTTTCTTTTGAGTCCTGACGCTGTACGTATAATGGAGTGTGTGTGTGTGTGTGTGTGTCCGTGTCCCTCTACCTCTCCGGCTCCTCTTCTGTGTCTTTTCCCGAAGTTATTCCAGTGTTGGAGGGAACCACCTTTGCCGCCCCTCCTTTCTGGGCTAACTTTCCTCTCTCTCCGCCGCTCTTAAAAAACCTCACCGGAAAATGTCTCTCCTCCTCTCTTGCTGATGCCCCTTAATTTTTCCCATCCTCTGCCATTTTTTCTCATTTAACTTCATTGTGCAGTTATTGCTATGTCACCCTGCAAAGCAGCTCGGGAGACAATTTCCCTGAAAGACACTGTACAAAATAAGGGTGTAATAAGAATTAGTGTATTGGATCTTCAGAGCCTTGACAAGCAGTATCTCATTAACCCTCACAGCTCCCCTGTCAGATAGGTAGGAAAGTATCTTTATTCTGCACACTGGGGAAACTGGGACATGGTGCTGAGCCCTTTTAATTCTCACCTGAATTTAGCCCCTACCAGGACCATGCCCACAGGGGGGTTAAGTAAAGTGCCCAAGGCTATGTATCAGGTCAGTGACAGAACCGTATAAAGCTCTTTCACCTGTGCTATAGAGGAGCTCAGACTTGATGAGCTAATGGTCCCTATGAATCTATGAAACTGTGTGTGATGCACTTGGAGCTACTTTGTAA